GCGGGCTCAGGCAATCCACTCACCTCAGCCTCCCAAAGGCGCGGGGATTACAGGCTGAGCCACCGAGCCCGGCTAAATGTTGCCAATTTAAAAATACAGACCGGGCACAGTGGCTCCTTTATAAAAACCGGTAGACTATAAGCATGGTGTTTTCCTGAGTTCTGAGTCATTCTAGCAAATTATTGAACCCAAGGTGATGGAAACCCCTGAATTTGTAGTTGGCCAGGCAGAAGTGTGGGTAGCCAGGGCACCCTACCTCCAGCTGCCACCTGAAGCGGGAACAGTCTTGTGAGGCCGAGCCTTTGCCCTTGTGAGCCTGACACTCCCTCCAGGTGGAAAGCATCAGAAGGGAAGAGTTGGACCCCGCTGGTGTCGTGAGCTGGGGGGTGGTGTCAGGTGCACAGGGCTCGGGGAAGCAGTGTCCCAGTAACACCTGGCCAAGGGGACGTTCTGGGGACAGCACTGCCCAGGGGGGCTGGGGCCTGGAGTCTGTGGAGAGACGCAGTGGGATCTGGGGGCCCCGTGGGGGTGGCTTGAACACTGGGCAATTTGGGGATGAGGATGGGCCATGACCACAACTGGCCTAGTGGCTCTGAGGCAGGACCAGGCGTGTCCCTTCCTGGCTGTGAGTGGCTGCAAGTCACAGAGACGCATATCCATCGCAGCAAAACCGGGGTGGTCCCATCCCACATGGAGGCCAAACAAAAAGGTGTGGAAATGCTTTAACAGCCGTACGGTTGTGCTAGTGCTGTGGCCATTTCCCCGAGCGTTCACTGATCACAAACGCCTTCAGCCAGCCCCTTGCCCATGCGGGGGACTGACAGGAAGTCTAGGCTGGAGGCCTCTGCCACATCCAGCCAGGAGGTGACGGGCCCTGGGCTCAGCCTGGCTTTATCATCTTCCTCCTGCACACTGTCCCCTCAGGGGTTGTCCTGGTGGCCCCGCTGCCACTTCCCGGATCCTCACAAGGGCCCCACTTCCTGGTGTCTTTTCTGCAGACTTTCACGTGGCTGGCGTTTGCCCAGCAGCCTTTGTGTGCGGACCAGGGGGTGGGCTCGCCTCCAGCATGGGCAAGCAGCTGTCGTGCCAGCCCAACACTGGAAGACACGCTGGCACTGGCACAGCCTGCAGGCTGCCCTCCACACGCCGCCCCACCGGCAGCAGCTGCTCTTGATCTGAAATGGGCTTCCACGAGCCCCCAGCCCTCGGGGTGGAAATGATGGTCATGTCACGAGGACACCCACGGCCCTGGGTTGGGCTGTCAGTGGCCCTGGAGAGCTGGTGGCCCCGGCTTGGGTGAACCTCCGGGAGGTGGAGGCACCCTGACCCTGGCAGAGGGTGCGGTGAGTGTGGGGCTGCAGTGGGAACCCGGGCTGGCCTTCACTGCTCCCTGCCCGCCGTGTGGCGGCAGCTGTCACAGGCTGGACCCCCTTGCTGCCGTCAGGGACAGGGGGCCGAAGGAAGGCACAGCCGACTCTACCCCCTCTGCCTTCTCGTTTGTGACCCACCGTGTGTAAAGACACCCTTCGCTTTCCTCTCGACTACCCACAAGAAGACGGTTCACGGGCCCTGGAGAGGCTGCAGTGTGAGTCCCGGGGTGAGGACTGTGGCGAACGGGTAGCCACCCGTGCCGAGACGCAATATCCGCACGACCCGTTTCTGCCATGTAGGAATGAGGCCCCGGGGTCACCAAGCTTCAGCTCTTCCAGAGAAGCTGGAATCTAGATTTAAGGTGATAAGAAAACGTTGCCGATTTTAAAATACTGGCAACCAGGCTGGGCACGGTGGTTCACGCCTGTAATCCCAGCACTTTGGAAGGCCAAGGTTGAATCGCTCAAGCCCAGAAGTTCGAGACCATCCTGGGCAACGTAGCATGACCTCATCTCTGCGAAAGAAATAAAAAAACGAGCCCAGCCTGGTGGTGTGCACCTGCAGTCCCAGCTACTTGGCAGGCTAGGAGAGGATCGCTTGAGCCCAGGAGCTGGGGTGAGCCGTGATTGTGCTACTGTACTCTAGCCTGGGCAACAGCGAGACCCGACTGAAAAACTAAATAAAAATATTGGTAACCACTTTAAATTTCTAAAACAATATTGGGTGAACTGCTTATAGCCTGTGGCACAGACAGCATGGTCTCTGCTCGTCTCTGGTGGCTCCCGAGACACATGCCAGGCCCTGGCAGCAGGGGAAGGAGCAGGCATGAGACAGCCTCTTCCCGAGCTGGTCAGTCCACGCAAGTCAGCTCCGCTCTCTTCAGCTTTGTCTACTCCCAGGTGTGGCTCTGCCTGCCCGTTTCCAGGGCTGGGCAGGCTGCTGAGGGCTCTCTGTCAGCTGCAACAGCTGACCTGACCACTGTGGGCAGAGCTGGAGAGCACCCAGTGCACTCACATCTCTGATCTCTCTGCTCACAGTGCCTGGGGTCACTCTCTTGTCTTGGCATTCAAGGACAGGGCGGCAGTGCCTTTCCAGGAACGGGAACAGACCCTTCCCTGCAGAACCACAGCCCAACATCTGGAGCCTGGAGCCAGGTCCTGCACAGCAGAGGCACCTCCGTCTGCAGTGACGATGGCCCCATCCCAGTGCAGACAGACACCAGACCTCAGCAGGGGAGGGCGGCAGAGAATGGCAGAAAAACTTACCTAAGGACCATCCCAGGGCTGTGCTATTAATCTCCAACCAAATACAGAGAGGGTTTCTTTTTTGTTTTTGAGTAGGAGTGTCTCTCTGTCACCCAGGCTGAAGTGCACTGCAGCCTCAACCCTCTGGGCTTAGGCAATCCTTCCACCTCAGCCTTTCAAGTAGCCAGAACCACAAGTATGCACCACCACGCTGGGCTAATATTTTGAGTGATTGCAGAGACGAGGTCTTGCCAAGCTGCCCAGGCTGGTCTCAATCCTCAGTCTCCCAAAGAACTGGGATTACAGGTGTGAACCACCACACCCAGCTGAGAGGTGCTAATATGTACTGCCGAGTCAATACTTTGCCACCTCACCTGAGATGTTAAAATGAGGATGGACGCCTCCCTCAATGGCAGCCACTTCCTCTTTCCTGAACCACCTCTGCCCTCTGACCCTGATGCGCCCCCAGAAGTCAGAGAAGCAGGAGCAGAAGGACTGTCCCCTGCAGCTCCGACACCTGTTTCTCTGCAGACTCTCCGCTGCAACCCCACTCGCCAGCCTAGCGCAGACCAGGAGCAGCTCTAGCCCCAGAGGTCACATACAAGGACCCCAGGGCTCGGCCACAGCCTTGTCCTACCCCTGACAGGCTGACGCAGCTCCCAGAGCTCGGGATCCTGCCTGTGTGGAGCCCAGCCCACCCTCTGCTTCCTTTCAAGAATGTCACACTTGTCCCTTCCTGGAAAACCACTTTTATTAGCTTATACAGGCAGTGCAGAGCGAGCCGGAGCTGGACCCGACGGGCTGTGCTTTCAAAACTGCCCAGGCTCCCTACTGGCTCTGAACAGGTTAGCAGGAGTTCTAAGCCCAGGCCTCCCACAGCAAAGGCAGAGAAAACTTGCCCAGAAAGCTGAGAGCGGAGGGGGCCGTGAGCTCAGTGCTCCGCGGGTGAGAGTGGCTGGCAGGAGTGAGAGTGAGGAGGCGGTGCCCAGAGACCACCCCCGGTGAGGCCTCTGGCCAGGGGCTGGGACCCGGCGGGGGGGAGCCACAGGGAGAGAGCCCCAGGGGAAGCACACGGCATTGGGGCAGATATGACCATGGACGCAGCAGCGCAGAGCGTCCAGCAGACGAGGCCGTCCACACAGTTCATGGGCCTCGGCCTCTGTGGGGCCCTGCCTCTGCCAAGCACACAGGCAGAAACTGGAGAGAGCCCCAAGCCCAGCCCTGCCCCGCAGCAAACTGGGACCCAGCCCCCTGCAGTTCAGTGGCAGTTCTGGCAGCTTGGGTGGCAAGGAATCCCGTTCACCCGGCAGCGGCAGCCCCCGCTGGTGTCTCCTGGGCCCTAGGAGGGAGGGAGAGAAGAGAGGTCAGGATGGCCCTGACAGGAGGCCCCAGGTCCCCACACGTCCCATCCAGCCCTCGCCTCAGCCACCTGCTGAGGACAGCCACCGAGGCCTTTCCAGGCTCCCATGACACTTGTCCACTCCCCCACCAGGGCCCAGAGGAGGGACAGGGAAGGCACCTGACCACTGCGGGCACGTTCTGGAAGGGCCAGCAGGCTGGCAGCAAGACAGAGGGCAGCTTACTCTGCCTCTGCCTGTCTCAAAGTCTGCCTGTCTGCCACAGTGAGGCCCCAGTTCCAGAAGCCCTAATCATGACAGCGACCACGGGCGGCGAGCTCTCCATGCGACAGGCTCTCCACCAAGCGCTTCTCCTGCCATCTGTCACCGGATTCTGACAAGCCCGAGACAGGCCCTGTTGTCACCCCCATTTCACAGAGGAAGAGACTGAGGCTCAGAAAGGTGAGTAACAGCCTGACCACACAGCTGGTATGTGTCAGAGCCGGGGTCAACCCGCCCCTGACTCCAGGCTGAACCCTTACTAGCTGTCCTCTGTAGGGTATGGACAAACCTCTCTGCAAAGGCCAGTCACTTTTACCGGGCGGCCATGTGGTCTCTGCCTCTGCAGTGCGAAAGCAACCACAAGCATTGTGTAAGTGGGTGAGCCTGCCTGTGCTCTGTGGGACTCATCTATGAACGCTGAGATGGGGATTTCATATCATGTCACATGTCACAAGACAGTCATCTTTTGACAGTTTTCAACCATTTAAAGATGTAAAGGGCTGGACGTGGTGGCTCCTGCCTGTCATCCCAACTTGGGGAGGCTGAAGTGGGGGGAGCCTTTGAGGCTAGGAGGTCAAGACCAGCCTGGGCAATAGAGCGAGACTCTGTCTCTACAAAAAAAAAGTTGTGGAATCGGAGTCTCACTCCGTCACCCGGGTTGGAGTGCATGAGCATGGCATGCTCATGGCTACTGCAGCCTCAACTTGCTGGGCTTAAGCAATCCTTCCACCTCGACCTTCCAAGTAGTTGGAACTACAGGTGTGCGCCATCAGACTCAGCTAGTTTTTTTATTTACTATAGAGACGAAGTCTCGCCATGTTGCCCAAGCTGGTCTTGACCCTGGGCCCAGGCAATCCTCTTGCCTCCGCCTCCCAAACTGCTGGGATTGCAGGTGTGAGCCACTGCACCGGCCTTTACAAAACCTTTCTGAAACTGAGCTGGGTGTGACGCCAGGCCTGCAGTCCCAGCTACTCGAGAGGCTGAGGCAGGAGCATCACTTGAGCCCAGGAGTTCAAGGCTGTTGTGAGCGGTGATTGTGCCACTGCACTCTGGCCTAGGCAGCAGCGAGACCCTGTCTCTATAAAAAATAAATAAAGATACAGAGAACATTTCTTGCCTCGGGAGCCACACATACTCAGGTGCCGGGCTGGATCTGGCTCAGGGCTGGAGCTGCCCAAGCCTCCTCCTGGACAACCCCGCAAGGCCACCTCCCCGGCCCTCCCGGCCCCGCACCCCGAGCCCCGCGCCGAGACTCACCCCAGGGCCCCAGCGCGGGCCCTTGGTGACCCAGCAGATCTCAGTGTGGCAGACTGTGCAGCGGATCCAGTCACAGCCATCCTTCTTCTGCACCACGATCTGGCACTGCGGGCAGTGCATGGCCTCACCCTGCCGCAGCATCAGCTGGAGCAGAGCAGGTGCTGACCTCGAGGCAGGGGCCAGGCAGCCACTGCCGGCCCTGCTCCCGGCCCCCCCACTGCAGAAGGCGGCCTACGCGCCCCCCAGCCCTATGCCAGCGCCAGGGCCCCCCCAGCAAACCCCCCGTTGCTCCCATGGTCTCCTCCCTCAGCCCCCATGCTCTTCCTGCTGCTGCCAACTGACCACTCGGCCCAAGCCCCGCTCCGGATGCGAGCGGCCAGGGCCTCCAGGCACGGATGAGCCAAACCGAGAGCCCAGGCACTCCAATCCCCAGGGCTCGGCCCCACCTCACCTTCAGCATCTCTGTCGTCTGCCGGGCAGCCATGTCGTTCTGAGCCCGCAGGGCCAGGTCCTCCTGATACTCCTTGCAGTTCATCTGCTCGTGGATGGCCTGCGGGGTGAGGGGCGAGGGGCTCGAGGTGACCTGGTTTCCAGGGGCTCGAGAAGCCGGGGTGTGAGTGACAGGGCGGGCATCTACGTCAGCACTTAATGCCTCCAGATGCAGTCAGTGGCAGGGCCTCGTCTTGCAAATCATACACCCAATTTACAGAAAAGGACACTGAGGCCAGGGAAGTGAAGTCAGAGTCGTCAGTATGGTAACAAAAACCTACACCTCAGCTCCCCGAGTAGCTGGCACTGCGGGAACCACTGCTGCACTTGAGCACAGAAACCCCTTACACCCCTGCCCCAACATCCCTGCCTGGGCTCCAACCCAGTACGGCCCAAGGCCTGGACACTTAGCTGGCTTAGGCCAAGTCTGAGGTCAGGCTCCAGGCCTGTCTACCCATTCCTCCCCTTAGTGGTCAACTTTTGAGTTGACTGGGTGGGGAGAGGCCTGAGGAAAGAACCAGGCAGGGCTCAGTATGGGTTGAGGGTCTGAGCTCAGCTCAGGACGGGAGTGGAGACTGGGCAGGAGGCCAGGGTTGGGGCTTGGTCTATGACACGGGTTCTGCCAGAAGCCAGGCCAGAGCTTGGTTCAGGGTCTGAGCTGTCTGGTCGGGTTGGTCAGGGCCAGGTTGGGGACTCAGATGGGGTTGGAGCTCAGTGTGGGACTGGGATCCACATCTGTGACTTGTCCAGGGCCAGAGCTCAGCTGTGGGCCAGGGCTGTGCAGGTTGGAGGCTCTATCTGGGGCCAGATCTGGGACTTGGTCTATGGGGCTGGGGCTCAGTGCGAGCCCAAGCCACGCTCTTGCATGGACTTGCAGCTCTAAGTCACGACTACAGGCCAAGGTTGCAGCTCCCTTCCCAGGAGAACAAGCACCGCACTGCAGCGAGCCCCAGGTGGAAGCAGTGACAAGGCAGTGCGGGTCCGTCCCCACCTTGCAGACCAGGCAGTTGACGTGGAAACACACGGGACAGGTGAACACATTGACATCATCCTCAAAGAAGCACCATCCCTTGCAGTCTGGGGTCTTGCAGTGGTAGCTGAAGGCACTGCGGTTTTCAGCGATGGAGACGCCCAGGTCTAGAAACCGCTGGTACTCCTCTGGGCTCAGGAGCTGCCAACACAACAGGGTCCTGGCTGCTCAGGGCTCAGAATACCTGACACGTGGTCCTTTGCCGCTAATGTGTTCTCCAGAAAGCCCCAACTGCAAATTCCAACCCGGCCCAGGTTTTCCTCTTCACATAACCCTCAGTATTGAAAAACCCCACTCAAAAAGTGGGCAAAAAAGCTGTGAAAGGTGGGGATGGCTACACAGCAATGTGAATGGACTTAATGCCACTGAACTGCACACTTAAAAGTGGTTAAAATGGTAAATTTTATTTAGTGTATATTTTACCACAATGAAGAAAAGCAGACAAAATAAGCAATGCTGGGGAAGATGTGGTGAAATTAGCATCCTAGCACCTCACACTCGAGAAGGCAATGTGGCCATAATGCTTCAACCAGCCCAGATTTTTCTGACTCTGGTAACCAATCCACTTTCTATTTTTTTGGAGCCAGAGTCTCACTCTGTCACTCAGCCTAGAGTGGTGGCATGATCATGGCTCACCATAGCTTGGACTACAGGTGTGCGCCACCATGCCCAGTTGATTTTTTAATTTTTTGCAGAGACGAAGTCTCTCAGGCTGGTCTCAAACTCCTGGGGCTCAAGCAATCCTCCCACCTTGACCTCCCAAAGTGCTGGGATTATAGGTGTGAGCCACTGCTCCTAGCCATAAGTTTATCCTAAGACAAAAAAGTTTATAGAAATAAGAAGTATCTCCATGCAGAATGAAACTAGAATTACCCAGGAAAGTGGCAAAACAGTATATATGCCCCAGAGACTTGTAACAATCTTTAGAAAGACTCTAGATCACAATAGCAAACACCACCACATTCACACTGGTTATGTGAGGTATAAGTCATGTCTGTTTTCTGCAGGTGACTGAGGTGTGATTCTCAAAATTCATCTAACTGCATACTTGCAATGGGTGTATTTTATTGTGTGCAAAGTACACTTTAATAAAGGACTTAAAAAGAAAAAAAAATCATGTCTGCCCAGAGACACCGAAGGACACTGGATAACATGCAATTGGAGGATTTCTCAGGTTTATGGGTAATTTTCCTCTTTGATTTCTGTTCTGGTTCTGCATGGTTTAAGCATTTTTTTTTTTTTTTTTTT